TTTATTTCTTAGCAGGCTGAATTTGCACTTGACAAAAATGTAAAGTTGACGATGAAGCCAGAATTTCTATTTATCTAATTTTTAAAAATGTTGTTATTGAAGTTTCATTACAGAAAGACAAGATCACCAGTGGTAGTAGCTCCAGGATTGAAATATGCTTAATTACTGGGTATTAATAAGAGTTCGTGCTATGGAAAAGATTGTTAAAAGGATACAGGACTGTTGTTTCTGGGTTGTTTGTTTAAATATATTTTTTAAATTCTCATTTCTCAGAGATGAATTTTTTCCCAAAGTTTTGAAGTTCCTTGTGACTTAGATGTGATGTGAGAGTGATTATCCCTCTAGATTAAAGGATTTTTAAAAACTATTTATTACACATAAATGGTAAATAAGTAATTTGGATAAGGGGCTGGGATTGTGGCTCAGAGGCAGAGCACTTGCCTAGCAGGTGTGAGGCTCTAGGTTTGATTCTCAGCACCGCATATAAATAAATAAAATAAAGGTCCACTGACAACTAAAAAAATTAAAACAAAAAAGTAATTTAGATAATTTTATTTTGAACTGTTTGATTAACTATTTGGTATATATTGTCTTAGATATTAAGCATTCAAATTTAAATATACTATAAAGGACAATATTCTTTGATTTCAGGGAAAATTCTAATTTTGTAAGTTGGTCACCTGATGATTATGGTTCTAAGTTTTTTTATGCATTTATTATTAACTGGTCCAAATAATGAGACCAAACCAATATCTGCATATATTAAAATATATTATTCTTAATTCTTTATTCTGTCAATAGAGCATTCATGCTATTATGTTGTTTTTTATTTTTCATTTGTGTCTTGGATCATCTCAGAGAGGTTGTTTGTTTGTCCCATAATAAAGTTTTATATAGAAAGGTTAAAACTATGTAAATAGTTTTTGTGAAAATTATCAGTTATTTTGAAGGGGTAGAATGGCATCTTTGTTGATAGGAGAACTTTTGTAAATAAAGTTGAAATTTCAAATAAAAAAAAAAAGAAAAAAGAAATACAGGTCACAAAATGGAACTTGCATTGGCATCTTTAGTGGGGGCATTTGGGGATGGGGGCTGATGACAGGGGATTGAGCCAGAGGTGTTTTATCACTGGACTACATCCTCAGCCTTTATTTTTGAGACAGGGTCTCACTAAGGCGAAGAAAGTGGACTTAAGCTTGCTAACCTCCTCTGTCTCCTGTGTTGCTGGGATTACAGGTGTATGCCACTTCACTTGGCTAAAGTGGGGCATCCTTGTGGGACTGAGCCTTTAACCTGTAAGGCCTCTGATAACTCCAGGTGTCAGAATTGAGTGAATTTTAAAGGATCCCACTCGAGACAAGAAGGACCAGGGAAATGGGGCAGGATGGAAAGAAGTTCAATTAGAAGCACCTAAACAGAGAATGGAGCAATTAATTCTGGTTCTTCTTTAGCATGGTAGGGTAACTGTAAGATAAAACGACCTTATATATTTCAAAACTCTTCAGTACAAAATTCCCCACACACAAAAGTGATTAATGCTTGAAAGAGATGGAAATGCTTGTTACCCTGGTTTGATTATTACACACTGAATAGTATAGAATTGCCACATAATGAATGCATCCCACGGAAATGTACAAATTATGTTACAATAATTTTTTTTTCCAAAAATTGTAAGGCACCCAAGTTGACATCTACAGAGAATTTGGGAATTGCTTAGTGGGAGGAAAACACCTAACACATCTGGTCACAGAAATGTCATTATGCTCAGAGTGGAGTAGGAAAAAGCAGTTTGTTTTTTCCTATTATACACAGATACTACTGAAGGGTATATGGGTGAAGGAAAGTCTGGAAACCTGAACACTTCAGCTGGAAACAGAGTATTTTTTAATTCCTGAGTGTATTAGCCTTTACTCTTTTCCTCACTGGATTTCTCTGAGATTCATAGGCATATGATATTCAGTTCCGCTCATCTTTCTCATTCTAGCACACATGCAGAAGTCTCCAGGCAGAAATTTAATTTTGTTTAGAAAACAATTTCAGAGTTTAATCAGCAGTAATTGTTATAAACCATTTGCTGCCTATATACTGAAAAGGAACTGATGGGGCCTCCTTCCTGAATAACTCCACGAGGCAGCCTTCCCTGTTCTATGGCTATGTGCAGTGCAGGGCTATGCTAGGAACTCAACAGAGGTCTCAAAATATTTGATCAGTACCTTTAAAAAAATTATTCTTTTCAAAATTCAGAACTCCAATGTTTTCAGCTAGGTCTAGTTCACTTTCGTTTTCTACAGAGCTCATAACTAACACACACTTTCAACATATTCATATTTAAATTACCTGCCTGATTCCAAAGACATGATTTTGCCCTACTACTAGGAAACTTTGAATTAATTACTATTCTAATAACTGCCCAACAGGAAATCCTCTTCTTGGTAATTGCTGACTAAGCTTTATGATTTATCAGAATTTGACTTCTTCATGGATCCAGCTACTAGTATTTAGTTTGTTTTTCTATGTTGGCTTATTCATTCATCCAGTCATATATTTTCAATCTTTCAGGAATTCCTAAAACTGTCTAGTCCTCTGACAGCATTCTATCCTGTTTTGTTAATTTAATTAATTTATTTATTTTTACACATCCTTACTGTCATTTAAATGGAATTTTTGGATAGAAAAAAATAGGCAAATGCTAAGTTTGCAATCTTGGACTACAAACCTTAATCCTTTTTTAAAAAATAACCCTATTTTGGTACTTGATTCCATTTACTGCTAATTGGTTCTGCTGCCTTAACTGTTTCTGAGTTAAGAAAAAGAGATGGAGGTATGTATTTTAACTGAGGAGTTGTTGTTGACTACTATACACAATTTTACTTAAAATGTGAATTATCCTGATTAAGACAATAGATGAAAGACCTTAGCACAAAACTTGGAATATGGTAAATGCTCAAATAGTAATTTTTGATATTAATTAAGAATTGAGAGAAAAAAAGGAGAAGACTTAGTTGGAGTTAAGAAAAGGGCCAAGGGAGAATGATAAAATCATGTCCCAAATGAGTATAAAGCACAGATCCATTTACTGACTATTCAAAAACTTTCTTAAAGTTCATGACGTGTAGTTTTTCTGAGGATGGAATATGAAAGTTAAGGTCTAAGTATCATGGATAAGAACCAGTAACTTATTTATTCTAAGGCTAGCTAGGATTATAAAGGTTAAGTCTAGTCAATTACCTAGCAGTTCTTCATTTATTATCATTTTACATTTTTGAAGAGTTTCAGTTGTATTTATTGCTTTTTAAAAAAAGAGGAAACCATAAGTTTTAGTGGTAGTATTTTTAAATTTAAGGCTACCTTATCTTAATCATTTAGTCTGAGAAATTTGAAAGGCAATCTTTAACAACTCCAATTTTATATAGTTTGCATCTACAAACTCACACAATTACTAAGTTTATCAGGCTTTGATGAAGAATACTATAGTGAGGAAAAGGGGAAAGATTGGAACTCAAGAACATATTTTCTACTTTCTGCTCATGAGTACAGAAAATAAAGAATTAATTTAAGATCTATTTGAGATAGGATGGCTTGTCATAAATTGTTGTGTAACACAGACTGCTTCAAAGACAACAGAATTTCTATTCACAGATAGTTCACATATAATTTCATTTTATATTCCTTTTTTCAGTTTTTTTTACTGATATTTAAAAAATGATAGTGGAATGCATTATAGTTCTTATTACAAATATACAGCACAATTTTTCATATCTCTGGTTGTATATAAAGTATGTTGACACCAATTCGTGTTTTCATACATGTACTTTGGATAATGACGTCTATCACATTCCACCATCCTTGCTAATCCCCTACCCCCTCCCACTTTATATTCCCCTTTTTAAAAAACATTTTTTAGTTGTCCATGGACCTTTATTTTATCTATTTATATGGAGTGCTGAGAACTGAATCCAGTACTTCACATATAACAGGCAAGTGCTCTACCACTGAGCCACAACCCCAGCCCCATATTCCCCTTTTTAAGGGGGCATTTGTGGAAAGATACTTATAAGAAATTCTCCATCTAATTGTGTAAACAATTTCAATTTCTTTCTAAATACCAGAGTAGGAGAACTAATTTTTTTTTATAAGTTGAGTAGTAAATCTGCACAATGAATAGTCTAAAGTCATTTTATGACAACCCACTCTTCTCTGTTTGTGGAAGAAAGAACAGAAAAAGTACACATGAATGCCTCCCTGATAATAACTCCTTTGGAAAGCTGTATTTCTTAGGTAAGCTCAAAATCTACAGGCCGGTTGCTGGAAACTCTGTTAATTTTTAGTTTGATCTCAAGTGCAGGAATTCCTAAATTWTGAGGCATAATGCCTTACAACATTTTTTTAAAGTTAAAAAAAATGAACAACACAGGAAAATACCAGTTGTACTTTTAATTTCTGAAAAAGAAAAACTATCTTGACTTCAGCTAATTGGAAATTTACTGACAATATTTGCTGCACTTGAGGATTACAGGTCATTCATAATAATTCTGCAGATTTCATTGCTTTAAATGTTACTTATAAGGTATATAGTTCCAATGATGATACTAATAATAAATAATACAAAGTTATACAGATAAGAGGAAAATATCAAGGACACTGAAAACTCAACATTTGATAGTATCACAAAACAGAGATATCTCAAGGAGAAACAATCTTACCTGACAGACAACGAACAAGCTCAAGTCTTGAAATTCTGATTGTTAGAATCAGAACTGGTCCTTAGACTTAAGTGTTTTTCAAGTTTGGTAGACAGGTTTAAATATCAAATCTGACAATATCATTTGTCCCTGTTAAGGAATATAGACTTTGGCACCAAATAATTACGCTTTTTCCATTCTTGTTTGAAACAAATGTTTCCATTTACATAAACTCTGAATATAAAGTGATAACATATTAATTTTTAACAACTAGTCTGTCTGAAAAAGACAAAGAAAATTATAAAGAAAATGACTCACCACTGTCCTCTGTTTATTGGGCAGGAAGACTCTAACGATAGGTTTTTGTGGTGACTTGGGGTTGCTCCGTGACACATCTGTGGGGTTTTGAAAAACTGAAAGAGATGAAGGTAGCACTGAAAGGCTAGAAGAGGAAGAAGACGTAACGGTGTCCATTGATGCAGAGCTAGAAACAGAAAAATCAGTTCCATTCCCCAGGGATTCCAATAACTGTTGTTCTCTTTGTTGGAGGGCAGCTAGCTTGCTGATGTATTCTTCATAGGCCTATAAAATAAAGTAGACTCACATTGAATCTGGACTTTGCCTGACATAAACAAAAGAAAATACGAAATTTTAGTCTTTGATTAAAACCTTATAATCTAGCTAAAAGGGTTTTAAGTTACAAGATACAAAGTAAATACTGAGAATACTGTAAATGGATACTTTCACTTTTAAATGGATAAACTTGTAGACACTACCACATTACACTGAGAAACCTGACCTATATATGTGATGTTTAGATGGTCCATGAATGTTAATTTAAAAAGTATAGAATTTTCCTATTTTCTGGTCAAATAATAATTTACCTTCCAGACCACAAGTCTAATATAATATAAAATATTGTACTACTCAAGAACAGCTATCTCCATTTCCATTAAATTTTATTTTCTAGAAAGTTATAGGTATATAAAAATCTCATTCACTTTCTCTCTCTCGTACACACTCACACTCATTCACATACTCTCTCACTTTAAGAACAGAAAAAGATGGGCTAGGGTTGTGGCTTAGTGGCAGAGCGCTTGTCTCACACATGTGAGGCACTGGGTTTGATCCTCAGTATAACATAAAAATAAATAAACAAAAATAAAGATATTTTGTTCATGTATAAATAAAAAAAATTTAAAAAAAGAACAGAAAAAGACATTGAAGGATTAAGAGGGATTGTCAAAATACAAGATGGAGGTATATAAACAGATCTCATTGTTAGCACCAAAATCTCTTCAATAGGCTTAGAAGATGTGTAACAGCCTCCTTCTTCCTGAAAATACTTTACTTGTATTTTTCTATTTATGTATGTGTTTATGTATTTTATTTATTTGCCATACTGGGAACTGAACCCAGGTATGCTTTATCACTGAACTACATCCCCATTCCTTTTCATTTCTTAAATTTTGAGTCAGGGTTATAGGCCTTGAACTTGTGATTGCCCTGTATCAGCCTCCTAAATAGCTTGAATTAAAAACTCCATGGATCTCTGATTACCTCTTTTCCCACCAAACACTGCTTACAGAATAAGAGCTGTATTTGAAAATGTGACTTACACCCCATAATCAAGAAATTCTGGGGGCTGGGGATGTGGCTCAAGCGGTAGCGCGCTCGCCTGGCATGCGTGCGGCCAGGGTTCGATCCTCAGCACCACATACCAACAAAGATGTTGTGTCCGCTGAGAACTAAAAAATAAATATTAAAAATTCTCTCTATCTCTCTCTCTCCTCTCTCACTCTCTCTTTATAAAATAAAAAAAAAAGAGGAGGGGCAGAGGAAGAAAGTGAGTCCACTGAGTGTACTACAAAATAAAACTTAAAAAAAAAAAAAAGAAAAAAGAAATTCTGGGGCTGCTGTAATTGTATATCCTCAAAGTTTTTATTTAACTAAGGCTATAAGGACAACTGTCTACATAAAGTATCAAATTCTAAAGGAAGAGATGATATTTAAAGTAAAGAGATGGAATAAATTGAATGCTGTATGTCCACAGTTATTATTTAAGGTAGTGGTAATTTTACTTTTAAGTATTATATATGAGAAATAAACAGAGAACACTCCAGATGAAGGGTGAACATTAATGGGGGAGGGGCTGCCTAGAAAGGTTGTCACTTGGAAGGAGGATATATACAGGGAGGAGAGACCTGTGTGCAAAAGATATTCTATAACAAGGTAGGGAGATGTGAAAGTTTAAGACACAGAGGAAAAACTACACACTGGTAAAGCAGAACACCACATAGTAAGTGGAACAGAACAAGGGATCAATGTGTTTGTAGAATTTAAACAAATAGGAAAAATGATAAGAGACCAGAGTGTGGAGAGTATATATGCGGCATGCTATACAGTCTGAAATTTATTCTATAAGTAAAGGAAAAGTACCAAAGGCAAAGGAGAATGAAAAAGAAATTTCGTTTCAGCAAAGATTACAGCAGCAACCTGATATGTTATATCTCACCACATAATTTTGAAGGTAGGAAAAAAAATGGGGAGAGAGGACTAGTAAAATGAACTACTAAGGTAATAAAAGACTAGACTACATCAAAATACCCTCTCCTTTTTAAAAACTTGCTAATTGCCCTACTCTGAACCTAAACTATTTCAGAGAATATCAGGGTTATAGACATCAATTCAAATTTGTATGAGCTATAATTCTGTTTAGCTTTCAGTTCCAACAGAAGGGCACTTTTCTCATTTAATAATTTTCGCAATTCATTTATTGAGTCTCTAATCATTCAATAAATATATATTTAGTGCCTGGCATTGTTCAGGGTTTAGACTACAAAAATAAATAAAACAGACAAAACTTATACCCTTTGAAGATTACATACACACAAGTGAGAGACAACAGCTTCCTCCCAATATACATAAATATTCTTATTTCCTATCATCTGGGCCAGTACATTTACTACATAAGATTGAGCTTAGGAAAGGTAATGAACTTGTGAAAACATTTTTCAAAATGTTATTTCCCTTATCAAAATGTTAACTTTAATTTTTGAAAATATATGGATTCCTCCATTATGGATTACAAATTATCATTTCACCACATTTATCAACATCCCCTCCTCTTAAGTATGAAACGTACGTACTCCACCTCTCTTCATCCTTGAAGCTGCTATTCACCAAGGCACCTGGGTCTTTTTAACTCATTATCCTGCCTTAGAGTTACCTAAATCTTATCTCTAAAGGCATTTATTTCTATTYTGTCTTCAAGACCCAGAGACACTCAAACCACAGTATTTACCAAAAGAAATCCAAATGATGACAAGATCTCAATTTGAAGCTGTTCACGACCTTAGATGCACACACATATACCTTCTTCAATTTACAACTTACGACCACAGTGATCTGTTCAGGTCAATATTAATTCCTCAAGCCATTTTTCATATTTGGGCGACTGCTGTCTTCCTTCCCTTCCTCTGTGGCTCATCATTTTAATAATGCCATTGTAATATCTTGGTTCTCTAGCTAGAAAGTTACCAAATAACAATTTTGGGAAAATCCCACCATTTGATTATTCCATTTTTCTCTCAAGTTACTACATACTTGCTGAAGAAAAGAATTCATTCTAGAATAGTTTCCATTATCAATTCATGGAACTTAAGACTCATATGGTCCTTCACCCTACTGCCTGAAATTTTTTACTTGTTTTCAATAACATCATATTTTTAAAAATCATATTTATTTTAACCTTCTCTATTTTTCTCTGGATCCCAACCTCATCCTCCAACCTTTAATACTTTCTGTTTTTTTTTTTTTTTTTTTTTTTTTTTGTGGTACTGGGGATTGAACATTCTACCAACTGAGCTATTCCCCCAGACCCCTTTAATTCATTCTGAAAACAACATTATCTTCAACTTAACCACTTGATGAAGATTAAGGTCATCAAATGAAAGCTTCCTCTACTTTTTGTCTAAACAATTCAAGTCCTTCCCCATCCTTCCTCTACTCTATTCAAGGGCCTCAACTAAGATGGCCTTGGACCATCATCATCTTTACCATTTTCTCTGATATTTTCTGTTTTCCACTGTTTTCTAACTACAAATATGAGCAAGTCAGTTCCACATAAATATATATTTCAGTGACTACTACCAAAAAAAAATTCATTTGGTTTTTAAAATGTTGCAGATATCAGACACTTCTTCAGAATGCAACTTTTCAAAGCTTTCTAATCAAACCCTAATTAAGATAAAAGTCAGAGAAAAGAAAAAGATAAAAGCCAGAAGAGCTATTCTTTCCTTTACCTCCTTTAGAGTATTAATCGTACTCTTCTTTATATGGCTAATTTTTCTTATTGCTGAAGTAATTTTTGGATGGTTAAATGAGATGACAAATAAAATGAAGATTACTAGACTACCACAAAGCAAAAATCCAATAAATACTGTTGTTAGTAAAAATCAGTAGCAGTGAAAAAAGTACCAGTAGTTCTTGTGAAGAATTACTAGAGTATGTGGCCAAGTTCTTGACATTATTCTTCAAAACTATAAGTTAGTTGAGGGTACAGATGGCATCTAATTTTTTTTAATACTTATTTTTTAGTTTTAGGTGGACACAATATCTATATTATTTTTATGTGGTGCTTATAACCCAGTGCCTCACGCATACTAGGCAAGTGCTCTATCACTTGAGCCACAACCCTGGTCACGGATGGCATCTAATTTATTATAATGCGAAAAAAGCATGACAACAATGATGACAAAAAAGATGACAACAATCCCCAAGTTGATCTACAGATTCAATGCAATCTTTATCAAATCCCAATTTTCATGTTTTTAAAGAACTCAGAATATATCATAACAATCTTTAAAAAGAATGAATTTGGAGAACTCATACTGTTTCTAAATCTACTAAAAGCTACAATAATCAAGGCAGTGTAATATTGGAATAAGCATACTCATATAGAACAACAAAACAAAACTGAGGGTCCTAAGGTCAACTGATTTTCATCAATGGTGCCAAGATAATTTGATGGAGGAAAAAATGGTCTTTTCAAAAAATGGTACAACTGGATAGCCACTTGTAGAAGAATAAAGTTAAACTACTACCTAACATCACATTACAATTTAACTCAATTTGGGTGTGGTAGTGTACACCTGTAATTCCAGAGGCTTGGGAGACTGAGGTAGAAGGATTCCATGTTGGAGGTCAGCCTCAGCAAGCTAGCAAGACACTCAGCAATTTAGTGAAATCCTGTCTCAAAGTAAAAACTGAAAAGGACTAGGGATATAGCTCAGTGGTAAAGCACCCCTGTACTCAATCCCTAGTATCAAAAACATTAAATCAAAACAGAGCAGATACCTAAAAAGTACAAGAACTAAAACCATAAAACTCCTACAAGAAAATGTAGGAGTAAATCATCCTGACCATGAATTAGGTAGGTAATAGTTTCATATATATGACACCCCAAAAAGTACAGCAACCAAAAAAAAAAAAAAAAAAGGAAGAGAAAAGAATAAACCTGACTCCAATCAAAATTAAAACTTTTGTGCTTTAAAAGAAACACCTCATAGAATGGGAGAAAA